CTACTACTACTACTACTACTACTACTACTACTACTACTACTACTACTACTACTACTACTACTACTACTACTACTTACTACTTACTACTTACTACTACTACTTACTACTACTACTACTACTACTACTACTACTACTACTACTACTACTACTACTACTACTACTACTACTACTACTACTACTACTACTAGTGCTACTACTACAACAACTACAACAATAACTACTACTCCTACCCGAAATAATGCTACCACGATGTAAGCTACCAAGCACCTGGAAGCTTTTCAACGGTAGCTGGGCCCACAGTGGGACATCCGAAGGCCACGCGCTGCTGGTACAGATGCGGTAGCCTGGCGTGCGCTGTCGTAGAAAAACTGAGCATCGGAAGTCGGAAGGGAATCTTGCCACATGTGTCCAACTCTCGCCCAACCTGGCCGCGTCACGGGCATCCAACTTCCTGGCACTGAGCGATCACTGCACTTCCAACGCTGCAGCAAAAACGCCGCGGGGAACCACCCCCCATTTGACAGAAAACTCCACAGTGTGCTGGGGAAGATATTTTCCCGCTCCTTATCGCCGTGGACAATCTTCCATCTCCAGTCTTTTCCTGGGACCAGAGCTGGATTTCGGGGCGCGTGCAACCTTGAATGCCCGCGCGAGCGTTCTGGACAAGTAAAACTGATCCCGCTGACACACCTCCCGCTTTAGGTGGCGGTGTGCAGCCGTTTTCTTCAAGCTTCGCAGAGCCCATCCCCGTCTGGGCCTGGGCGTGGGTGGGCGTGCTGGGTGAACTAGCCCGCCCTGCCCTTGTTGGGACTTGCGTGGTTCCGGCGCGAAGCCACTCGAACAATGCTAGAGAGAAAAAGGAGGGTTGGGGCGGCGCGGCGAGAACTGGCCGTGCCGATCGGAGAACTCCATAATGGAGCGATGGCTGTCCTTAGGGTGCATGTTGAATGCGAAACGGGCATCTATCCAGATCCACCGCCCGGGGAACCGACCGCCTTGTGACCCCAGCGGGCCGTGGATGTGGATGCATGGTGGCCCCAGGGGACCGAACGCATATACGTACACATCCGTCGCCTGCCGAAGGCCCCGCAGTTCAATCCCCCAAGCTGAACGGGCCCTGGGACACACAAATAAATACACACAAATAAAAAGATTCCCCATATTTTCCCATATTTTCTGGGTTTCTGTCTTCCCCCCCACTTCCCACATTTTCGCATATCTTCTGGGAATCGACAATAATTGTGTCTGTGTATTTTTTTTCCCTCCTGACAAGCGGTGGTCATGGATAACTCCACGCCTCGGACTGTGGCCAGCCGGGGTTACCTCCGGGGCCGGGGATTTCTGCTGGACGTCAGCGCCGTCGAGACTCGAGGAGGGGAGGGAGGAGAGGCCGGGGCGGCGCGGCGCGTGGGCCCGCGGAGAGGCAGACACGCTGTCTCGAAGCTCCCCACCGTGGCCTCCCCCCCCCCGCCTGCCCTGCTGCCTCCTCTCGGGTCGGGCGAAAGGGGGGGATAGCAAAGGGGGGGTTTGAGAACCAGCTCGCGTAGCTGATCTTCCCGGCGCCCCCCGGCGCCGGAGGCGGCCATGTATCGAGAAATGGGCCCCTCGGTGAGGCCGAAACCAGCTGCACGCAGCAAATCTCGTACCCCCCCCCTTTCCCAATCCCCCCCCCTGTCGTCCGGCCCGATCCTCCGTCCGCAGCCCAGAGCCTGGCCACCCACCGCGGCGCGCAGGAATCGGCCGACGCCGGCCGGGGGCCGCGCCCGGCCTGCTGGCGCGTCGGGGTGGGGCGGCGGCCGGGCGAAAGCGAGGATAATTAAGACCGACTACGCCCACTTCAGACTGTGCAAGCACTACTTCGGTCAGCCTACAAGCGCAGGGAACTGACTGATCGCAGCATGAGGGGTTCCTATACAAGTCTTTGTGGAGAACACCGGACTGCAACCGATCCAGGAGATTCTGCAGAGCCTCTGCAGAGCTTCTGCAGAGCCTCCGAAGAGCTTCTGCAGAGCCTCACAGGAATCTGGGAATTGGTAGGGTACCTCGGAATTCTTAGGATTCCCTAAGAGGCCTTCTCAGGAATCTGGAAATTGGTAAGATCCTTCGGAGTCCCTAGGATTGCTTAGGAGGCCCTCTCAGGAATCTGGGAACTGGTGGGATCCATGGGACCCTTGGAGGCCTTCTTAAGGATCTGGCACTTGGAAGAATTCCTAGGAATTCCCAGGATTCCTTGGGAGGCCCTTCCAGGAATCTGGGCAGTTGGTCGGATCCCTGGGGATTCATAGGCATCCTTAAGATGCCTTCTCAAGAATCGTGGCAATTCATAGAACCCATGGGAATTCCTAGGGTTCCCTAGGCAGCCCTCTCAGGAACCTGGGGAATTGGTGAGATCGCCTGGAATTCGTAGGATTCCCGAAGAGGCCCTCTCGGGGATCTGGCACTTGGTAGGGACCTTAGGAAATCCTCGGACTTCCTAGGATGCCCTTCCAGGAATCTTGGAGTTGGTCAGGTCTACAGGAATTCTTAGGAATTCTTAGGGTTCCCTAAGGGGCCCTCTCACGCATTAGGCAATGTGTAAGATCCCTGGGAATTCCTGGGATGGTTTCGGAGGCCCTCCCAGGAATCTGGGAATTGGTAGGAATTCTAGGACTTCTCAGGATCCCCGAAGCAACCCTCTCAGGAATCTTGTGATTAGTAGGATCCCCCGGAATGCTTAGGATTCCCTGAGGCCTTCTCAGGAATCTGGGGATTAGTCGCGTCCTTACGAATTCCTAGGATTGCCGAGGAGGCCCTCGCAGGAATCTGGCACTTGGTATGATAGTCTTGTAGTTCCTTAGGAGGCCCTCTCAGGAGTCTGAGCAATTCATGGGATGCCGGCGCATTCCTAGGATTGCCTAGGAGGCCCTCTTGGGAATCTGGCAAGTGGTAGGATCCTTAGGGATTCTTCTGGTTCCTTCGGAGGCCTTCCCAGGCATCTGGACAATTGGTCGGATCCCTGGGAATTCCTAGGATTGCCTAGGCGGCCCTTCCAGGCATCTGGAAATTCGTAGGATCCTTAGTAATTCTTAGGATTCCCCCAGAGGCCCTCTCATGAATCTGGAAAGTGGTCGGATCCTTGGAAATTCGTAGGACTCCTTAGGAGGCCCTCCCATGAATCTGGGAAGTGGTAGGTTTCGTAGGAATTCTTTAGATTCCTTCGGGATCCTTTTCAAGAGTCTGGCAATTGGTCGGATCCATGGGAATTCCGAAGGATCCCTAGGAGGCCCTCCCAGAAATCAGGGAATTTGTAAGATCCGTAAGAATTCGTAAGATTCCCGACGAGACCCTCTTAGGATCCAGCCGAATTCCTCAGACGAATCACATTGAAATCGTATACGGATCAGATCGGAATCGTATACGAATCACATGGGGAATCATGTACGAATCGCATAGGAACCGTATACGAAGCATATAGGAATCGTATACGGATCATGGCCACGTTCGAGCTCAAAAACATGTGTTTAGGTGAGATCATGATCGGCCGTCGGTGATCGGACCGATCGCAACCGCTTTTTCATATTCCCGTTGGGCGGCGTATGGGAGTTCTGTGCACCCAGAAGCGCTCTTATGATCTCTCCCTTGATCGAAACCTGATTGAAGCGACCCAAAAACATCGCAACCGCTTCAGACCGATCGCAACTGGTTGTGATCAGTCCGAAGTGGTCGACGATCGGTCCGAAGTGGTTGCGATCGGTCTCCATCCTGGGTGAAGCCTGCCGGGCATGCAATGCTTGTGCCGCCTACCCCCCCGATCTCCGGCCTTGGTCACCATAGCAGGGAACCACTCCCCGTCGGAGAAAATGGCCTCGACGTGCTGGCCGACCGCGAACTGGCGGGCCCTCTCCCTCCCTCACTCGAGCGTTCGGGTGTGTGTCGGGAGGCGAAGGTCCTCCTCCACCTCCTCCACCTTCCTCCTCCTCCTCCTCTTCCTCCTCCTCCTCTTCCTCCTCCTGCTCCTGCTCCTGCTCCTGCTCCTGCTCCCCCTTCTTCTCCTCCCCCTCCATCCGAACTCCTCCTCCTCGTTCTCCATCCTTCTCCTGTTTCATCTACTCCATACCTCCTCCTCCTTTTCCTCCTCCTTCTCCTCCTCCTCCCCCTCCTTCTCCTCATCCCCCTCCTCTCCTCCTCCTCCTCCTCCTGCTGCTGCTGCTCCTCCTCCTCCTCCCTTTCCCCTTCCTCTCTCCCTCCCTCCCTCCCCCTCCCCCCCTCCTGCCTCTTCCTGCTTCCCTCCTCCCTCCCTGCGGGGAGAGGGGGGGGAAGAGAGAGAGGGGCGAGAAGAGAGAGGGGGAGAGAGATTGGGGGTCCAGAGCCGAGCGGGAGAGGGGGGGGGGGGGGGGAAGGTCGAGAGGGGCGAGAAGAGAGAGGGGGAAAGAGATTGGGGGTCCAGAGCCGAGAAGGCGAGGCCCCTGCCTGGAGCGCCCCACGTCACAGGGGGGTGGGAGAGGGGGGGGGGAGAGAGAGAGGGGCGAGAAGGGAGAGGGGGAGAGAGAGATTGGGGGTGCAGGGGTGCGGATGCAGCGGAGATGCCGCACACAAGAAGCAAGGAAGGATACCACAAACTTTGTAGTCGTCTAGTCTCCTCTTGCTCCTCCTCTTCCTCCTCCTCCTCCTTCTCCTCCTCCTCCCGCCCTTTCTCTCGTTCTCTCTCTCTCTTGCTCTGTCTCTCTTGCTCTCTCGCTCTCTCTCTCTCTCTCTCTTTCTCTCTCTCTCTCTCTCGCTCTCTCTCTATCTCTCTATTATTACAAAGACATGCACATGTGTCTCTCCTTGTCTCTCTCTCTCTCTCTCTCTGTGTCTCTCTCTCTCTCTCTGTTTCGCTGTCTCTCTCTCTCTCTCTCTCTTTCGCTGTCTCTCTCTCGCTCTCCCTCCTTGTTGTCGGTGCGTGCGCACAGCTGCAATCTCCAGTGCAAGAGTGCGACTGCCGCTGCCCGGGAGGCCTCGCGCTGCCCACCGTGCACTCGGTTAAGGCGCACTGGGCTTGCGCAGGCGCGCTCTGCGTGAGCGCCGCTCGGTGACCATCTAGGGGAACGTAACACGACATAAACACAACACCTCCTTGAAGGGGCCCTGGGACACACAAATAAATACACACAATTACTCATTGCGTGGAGCTCCCCATATGTGCATCTCATGTTTTATGTCATGCCGCGGTGAGCGTCTGTTCATGAGCGGTCGACTACAATAGCGCGTCCACGTGGGCGACAGGGCCGACGAAGACGAGCGACCCCTAATGCTAGTGATTGCGTATGAGTCAGAGTGAGCTTTGAATATGGTTGCCTCTTCCTCCTCAGCCCTGGTTGCCCAGGGCGCGTTTCACCACTTTTGGAGGCGCAGCCCCGCCGGCGATGTTGGGCATGAAAACGAGCAAACCGCCTGAGACATCCCAACAAACTGACCGCGAACGAGCCCGTGCAACCACCCCTGGCGGCTCCCCTTAGGAGTGCTGAAACCAGCGCCCCGCCTGAGACATCCTCACAATCTGCTCTCCAAGTGAAGGATGTTGAGCCCAGAAACAGGCACACCGCCTGAGACATCCCCACAAACTGACCGCGAACGAGCCCGTGCAACCACCCCTGGCGGCTCCCCTTAGGGGTGCTGAAACCAGCGCCCCGCCTGAGACATCCTCACAATCTGCTCTCCAAGCGAAGGATGTTGAGCCGAGAAACAGGCACACCGCCTGAGACATCCCCACAAAATGGCCGCGAACGAGCCCGTGCAAACACCCCTGGCGGCCCCCCTTAGGGGTGCTGAAACCAGCGCCCCGCCTGAGACATCCTCACAATCTGCTCTCCAAGCGAAGGATGTTGAGCCCAGAAACAAGCAAACCGCCTGAGACATCCCCACAAAATGGCCGCGAACGAGCCCGTGCAAACACCCCTGGCGGCTCCCCTTAGGGGTGCTGAAACCAGCGCCCCGCCTGAGACATCCTCACAATCTGCTCTCCAAGCGAAGGATGTTGAGCCCAGAAACAAGCAAACCGCCTGAGACATCCCCACAAAATGGCCGCGAACGAGCCCGTGCAAACACCCCTGGCGGCTCCCCTTAGGGGTGCTGAAACCAGCGCCCCGCCTGAGACATCCTCACAATCTGCTCTCCAAGCGAAGGATGTTGGCCCAGAAACAAGCAAACCGCCTGAGACATCCCCACAAAATGGCCGCGAACGAGCCCGTGCAACCACCCCTGGCGGCTCCCCTTAGGGGTGCTGAAACCAGCGCCCCGCCTGAGACATCCTCACAATCTGCTCTCCAAGCGAAGGATGTTGAGCCCAGAAACAAGCAAACCGCCTGAGACATCCCCACAAAATGGCCGCGAACGAGCCCGTGCAACCACCCCTGGCGGCTCCCCTTAGGGGTGCTGAAACCAGCGCCCCGCCTGAGACATCCTCACAATCTGCTCTCCAAGCGAAGGATGTTGAGCCCAGAAACAAGCAAACCGCCTGAGACATCCCCACAAAATGGCCGCGAACGAGCCCGTGCAACCACCCCTGGCGGCTCCCCTTAGGGGTGCGAGCGCCCGCTGAGCAAACACCCATTGGCCGCGAACGAGCCCGTGCACACACACCTGGCGGCTCCCCTTAGGGGTGCTGAAACCAGCGCCCCGCTTGAGACATCCTCCAAATCTGATGTGTGTTGAGTAAGTCTGAGTATGAGTAGGTCTGAGTATGAGTATGCCTGAGTATGAGTAAGTCTGTGTATGAGTAAGTCTGTGTATGAGTAAGTCTGGGTATGAGTAGGTCTGTGTATGAGAAAGTCTGTGTATGTGTACGTCTGGGTATGAGTAAGTCTGAGTATGAGTAATACTGTGTATGAGTAAGTCTGGGTATGAGTAAGTCTGTGTATGAGTACGTCTGGGTGTGAGTAAGTCTGTGTATGAGTAAGCCTGTGTATGAGTATGTCTGAGTGTGAGTAAGTCTGAGTATGAGTAGGTCTGAGTATGAGTAAGTCTGAGTATGAGTAAGTCTGAGTATGAGTAGGTCTGAGAATGAGAAAAGAGAAGGAGGGGAGGAGGAAAGAGGAGGAGGGAGAGGACGCAGGAGGCGTCCAAGTAATAACAAAAACCCCATCTTAGGATATGGGAAAATAAAAGGATTCCCAATAGTTTCCCGTAGTTCCGGGGTTTGGGTCTTCCCCCCCACTTCCCATGTCTTCCCAAATGTTTTCGGGGGAATCGACGATTCATTGTGTGTGTGTGTGTTTGTTCCCTCCTGAAGATTGCTTCGCCAGGGCCTCGAGGATTCGCATCGCGTGCAGGGGAGCGAGAAACGACATAAGCACAACAAAACAACTCGGAGGTCCGCGCAGATTTCTCGGATCGGCGCTGGACCCCCCTCCCTGGCGCGCTCCGCGCGCCAAGGGCGGCGCTGGAGGCGCCGCCAGGGGGCCCCAGCGTCGATCCGAGAAATCCGCGCGGACCTCCGAGTTACTATGTTTATGTCGCTCTTCGTTCCCCTGTCTGCGACTGCTTGCAGCAGTGCGCGCTGAGGGGGGAGGCCCCACATGCTCGAAACAGGCGCCAAAAACAGCCAAGGTCTACAGTGGAGGCTAGTCCACAAGACACCTGTCACAAGAAACCCAACCCTGAACCCCCAGGACGTCCATTGATTCTTGTTGTGGGAACGTCGCGCTGCCCATCGCAAAAACCATCGAAACCCAAGAAACCCAGGGCACCCTGGAGGCAAGCAGGGTGTTTCTTGGCATGGGTCTCCACTGTACTCCATTGGGGGGGGGGAGGGGGGGGATGTGCTGCGAGGGCCCGCGCCGAGATTGGCAGAACAGGGGACACGAGAACAACGACCAGAGCGCAAGCCTCCATTGAGGAGTCGCCATCCGACGCGGAATCCGAGGCCGAGTCGAATCGGGATTGGAGGCCCTCGGCATCGAATCGAATCGAATCGGAGGGATCGAAGTCGAATCCGACTCGGAATCCGACTCGGAGGAATCGATCGAATCGCATCCGACTCGGAATCCGAGGTCGAGTCGAATCGGGATCGGAGGCCCTCGGCATCGAATCGAATCGAATCGGAAGGATCGGCATCCGAATCGGAATCCGAGGCCGAGTCGAATCGGGATCGGAGGCCTTCGGTATCGAATCGAATCGAATCGGAGGGATCGGCATCCGACTCGGAATCCTAGGTCGAGTCGAATCGGGATCGGAGGCCCTCGGCATCGAATCGAATCGAATCGGAGGGATCGAAATCGAATCCGACTCGGAATCCGACTCGGAAGAATCGATCGAACCGAATCCGACTCGGAATCCGAGGCCGAGTCGAATCGGGATCGGAGGCCCTCGGCATCGAACCGCATCGACTCGGAGGGGTCGACGGGAGCCCTGCAGGGCGTGCAGCACTCGAGCTGCACGCGCGTCGTGCCGTGCTGACGTTAAGTTGGGCCTGTCCCCCATACAGGGAGATGTTCGACGATTTTAAAAAATAAATGAAATAAAAAACAAACATAGCCCACATATAATCCAAAACTAGTCAGGGGACTATTTGTTTAGTATTGATTGACCTTTTTGGGAATATTTTGGGGGTGTGTTTTACTTTTCGTCGAAAGTCCCCCTGTAGGGGGACACGCCCGACCTGGGACTACTGCTGAAAAACTCGCCTGGCAACCTGCTGTGTGTGTGTGTGCACCGACGCCGCCTGCGGGACCCTTCCTGCTGGTGCCCGCCTGGCGCCGCTGCCCGCTGCCCGCCGGCCCCCCGCCACTGCCCTCTGAGGAGCCGATGGCTCCCCTCCTTTCCGGCCAGAAGAAGGGGGAGGGGGAGGAAGAGGAGGAGGAGGACCAGCGCTCTGACTGTGGGTGGGTTCGCCGTCTTGGGCGTGAAATCCGCATCCCCTGGGTTGGGGCTTTCGTGAACACGGCGGAATCGCCCTGGCTAGCTCCCGACGCTGCTCTGCTGGCTTGCATTGAAGCTGGCAGCGTCAGCCTCAGCTAGTTCCTGGGCTAGCTGAGCCAAGGGGATGGGAGCTTTCAAAATTATCGGGGAAAAGGCCGCACCTTTGGGGTGTCGCCCCTCCATGGCTCGCTGTCGTTGCAGCTTGCGCGACCGTGGTTAGGCGGGGACTCTGGGCATGTGGCTTGAAACCCTGGTCCTCGAGTGCTCTCGGCGAAGCATCCACACTTCCAGCACATGATGATACTCGAGGGAATAGATTCGTCCACAAAGCCGAAGAAATATGGGAGGTGTCCTTTCGAGTTGATGAGCAAATCACTGTGCAGTGCACAGTGCCCAGGACAAACCTCCTTCTCACGACGTTGTCTTACTTGGGTGCTTCCACACCTCTGTCTGCACGCAGAACATTGCCAGCTGGAACCTATCTGGTGCCACTGGTGGGCCCTGTGGGGCCCAGGGGCCTCGGAGGCGAGGGGGGGAGGCCTCGGAGGAGGAGGAGGGGCACCAGGGGCCGCAGGGTCCCGCGCATCTTGGCCCCAAGAGGCCTGGGCTGAGGCAGCCCCCGAGGGTGGGGAGAGGCTCTTGACTGGCTTGGCCAGTGCCTTGTTCCTACGTGGGGCAATCGCTGGCCACTCTCCAAGGGCCTTGGAAATATATCGGAGATATTTCTTGAGCAGAGCAGTGTCACTCTGATACTGCTCTGTCTCGTTAGTGCTGGGTTGGCTGCCAAGGTTCGCGGCGGCCTTGGCAATCCTATCGGCGGCATCGTTGCCTCTGGCTATGCGATATTCTTCGCTGTCGGGTGGCAGCAGCTCGAGATTTTGATGGGCCTTGACTTTCTGGAGCTTGGGGCCGAGGTCAAAGAAACCCCCTCCCGCGAGGACTTTGCAACCAGACCACAGGTTACGGCGAGGATAACCTGCCTCCCCATGCAGCTGCAAAACTCCTTAATAATCAGTATAAACGCTGGCAACCTGGCTCGAGAGTCTACCCGCAGCCACGGCTGCGAGGTGCTCAGCTGCCCCCGAGGTTTGGGATCCCAGGGTCCCAACGCGGCCACTGAAGGTGGCAAACTCTTCACCATCAACCATGCACACTACAGCAAACGCTGCCGCATTGAAATCATAGTGGCCGTGATTCGTACAACTGCCGTCAATAAACACATCCCCTTTGAACGCTTCCTCAGGCCTTAAATAAGGATCTCGACACCAGAACTGGGCGAATTCAAGGCCAGTACCAGGAGGGGGGGAGCCCACGAAATCGGGCTTAAACTGGAAGCCGAGGTGGAGGGGGGAGGTGCCAGGGATCGGGTCTTTCAACCTACGAAGCTCCCCACTATCGAACACTTCTCTGGCGTTGGCGGTCTTTGGGCACTCCAGGAGGCGATGTTGGAGGTCATCTTTGTGGTGTCCACATGGGCAACCTTGGGGCACATCGTATCCCGCTGCTAGGGCACGCTCCATAGTCCAAATGCTGTGTGTGGCAAAGGCCAGCAACGTGCCGCGCTGCTGCTTGGTCATGTCGTCTGACCTGAGGACAGTGCATAGTGCTGCGGCATCCAGCCGCTCTCCTTGAAATCCCATCTTGGCAGCAGCCCGCTCTGCGAGGCGGTCGTGCCAGGCAATCTCGAGCTGCTTGGCAATGTAGGCTGGGGAGGTTCCTGGGAGGGGGCACTCAAGTCCTGCAGGGGTCACAAACCTAAAGGGCCCCTGGAACGACCAACCCACTCGGGCCAACGAAAGGGCCGCAGCACTGAGAGGGCCCCTACAGGAGCCCCACGCTTTAGAAACCCTCGGCAAAATAGCCTCGCCCCATTAGCTGAGTTGCTGGAGACTGACCACAGCCTTGTCAGGAAGGGCATGGGCCCCCCAGACAAGACGGTGCCACATGAGCGCGGGCCCGAGGCCCGCTTTCCACAGGGGGTCCTGGAGGATGAGGAGGGCGAGAGTACGACTCCTTGAGGCACACCTAGGACCTGCCGCGGCTAAATACTGAGACTGTGCCTGCGCGAGCATCGTGTTGTTGATGCCCGTGACCTCCACTCCGAAGGTGGTGGCCGCAGCCAGGCCAGTATTATACAGTTTCTTTCCATTGCCTCCAGCATGTTTGATCATTTTAATGCGGGCCATGCGTTTCTTGATCTTGTTAATGCGCTCCAAAAGCTTCCTTCCTCTCCCCCATCTCCTCTGGGGTCGTCCAGCTCCGCTTTCGATGCCGAGGTTGGGTCCTGAGATATCAGTGGGGGGCCCCGCGAGCGTCCCGAGGGTCTTCCTAAGCTTGTTTTGGAGGTCCTGGCTGGAGGCTAAAACCTGGCTCTTCTTGTTAGCAATATGGCACTTAAACTCGTGCTGGATACATGTGGCTAAAGGCCTAGCCGCCGAACTCGTCTGGCAAACCGCAGCGTCGTAGCTCCTGCCATGACACTGCGGCAACACATCGTCGATAAACATCGCGAGACGGACGTGGTTGTGCGCGGCCGTCCACTGGTCAAGGGGAGCGAGCACATACATTTGCACCAGGTACGTTGCCCACCCACACCCAGCAATGAGACCCCCCCACGCCTTGCCGACACTGACGCACACATCTTGCATGGCAACAAACCTGGAACCTCCGTACTGAGCGAGGATGACACGGAGCAAGCAGCACGGGAAACCAGACGCTACAGCACGCTTGGCGAGGCACTCACGGTCAACATGTTCATAATAGTTCGAGAGGTCCCACAGAACTTGAGCGGAGTGTTGGGGTTCCTCACGGCAAGCGTGATATTCACATTCAAGCGACTGAGCGTAGACGAGTTCCACGATGGAGTGCCCCGCCTGGTGTGCTATGTAGGGCCTTTTGTGGTGATACTCCCACTCGCGGGCCGCCGACCTTCGCAAACGGGCCCACGCACGGTAAAGAGCAGGGAGCATGCCAATCGACCGAAAGGCTGGTTGTGCGTTGATGTCTTCCTGCTGTTTGAGTTTGAGCATGAGAGTCGAGATAGCACCCTGCAGCTGCGATGGCATGTGCCCGATCTGCTCAACAAGCTCGATCAACTTACAGACTAGGTCGGCTTGCTCGTCGTCGAGCATGGCGAAATGACGTGGGTGCACTCCATCCCACGTTGAGGCCGTACTGCGCGGAAAACTTCGAGAAACTTTGCGGAGGCGCTCGGGGGTGATGGGTCCCAGGGCCACTCTGTCGTCGGTCGGGGGAACCCACTGCGGAGGGGCTTCGGGATGGACGTTCCAAATCTCGGCGAGTCTGTCGGCCTCAACCTGGAGGATGTGCTGCGGGCGTCCAGAAAAACGCTGGCGATGCACAACAGAGACTGGCTTCCAGGCTTCGAGCTTCTTCGTCCACCTGTGCGCCCATCCCACTCCACCTCTCATAGAAGATTGCACCCAATCCCTCCACTCCTGCCCGTCCTTACTGTGCTCGGCGGCAAGCTCAGAGTTGATTACCTTGCCGACCTGCTCGAGCAGATCATCTAAAATCTGGATGCCCAGCGCAGTGTTGAGCCTCTGCGCCTGGAAATCCTCATGCAAAAGTCCTGCAGCTATACGAACTTCCTGCAGCCCTTGGGCCAGGGCAGGGGAGGTGTTAAAGCTATCTGGGCTGTCTTCCAGACTGTCCAGGGTGTCCCGAAACTCCTGGAGATCCTCATCCTGGATGCTGCGCCGAAAACCTTGCAGCCGATTCTGGAGCCACCGAAGGGGCCTGGAGTAGGCCGTCCAGCGTTTTCGTCCCTGGGAGCACTTGGCACTCGCCGAGACCCAGTGGATCTGGGGGGGTGGGCCCTGGGGGTTTTGCTGGGTTTGAGGGGGGTGTCCGTTTTCACACTGAGTGTGTGTTCCAGGTCCTGGACGAGGGTGTAGTACACGTGGTCCAGGATGGTGGAGCGCTGCTGGTCGGAGAGGGGCTGGGGAGCATCTCCGAGAAGTTGGATAGCATAATCTACCACTGCAGCTGTCTGATGCCAACTTACCGACGGGAGCTGAGGTCCTATAGGCGTCCTAGTGGGGAGCTTCTGGGGCCTGAGGAGCGTCGGGATCTTAAAGTTGTCCTGCACTCGCAGGGTCATGATAACAGGACGGTGGGGGGAGAGAGGATAGGAGGCCAAGGAACGAGGGGGGTTCAGCCATGGCCCTAAGGCCTGGCTGTGGAGAAAGAAATCGATGGTCGACTTCGTCTTCTTAGTGCAGTAGGTGGCAGCGGTGGGCGCCGCAACCAACATCGTGGCACGAGTAAGAAAATCCGTGCCTTTCTGGATCCTCTCTGGCTGCAAATTGAAATCACCAGCAACAATGAGAGGCTTGCCCGCGAGATCCTGGGTCTGGCCGATTGTGGCCAGCAGATTTAGATTGGTCTCATTGAGACCCACAGAAGCCTGAAAATAAGCGCTCACCAAACCGAAGGCTGGGACCCCTGGCGCTTCGATGACAACTCCAGCGATCCTGGAGCTGTCCGTCGCGGGAGGGAAGGGGAGAGGCTGGGCCCCCAAGTCCAAGCCGTCCCGAACTAAAACCGCCACCCCCGAGACGAGTTCACCCGAGGGGCTGCGGGCGGCTGGCGAAATGTGGGCGAGCCAGCCGCGTGCGAAGCACCATTGAATCTGACGCGTGATGCTATCACCTGACTCTAGCTTGCACTCCTGTGCGCAAATGAAAGTTAAATCATTCGCAGTGGCGGACTCAACGAAGGCCTTCACTGCTCCCCAGCACGATCCGTTGATCGTGGCAAACGTGTAGATGTTTCCGCCAGGAACGCGACGTAGTTGGTCCTGAGGCGCCCGCGGCTGCGGTGGCGGCCGCCGCCTTCGCCCGCTTGACCTCTGGGCCGTTCTCGCCCTGGATCTCCGCCATGCCGCTGGCCACGGACTGGAGGGCGGACGCCGCGCGCACCAGGGACTCCGACTCGTCCATCTTGCCGTCGTCGAGCTCGGTGTCTGTCGGGGTCGGCACATGCTCGGCGGGGTTGGTCTGCTGGCTTGCCGCGGAGCCAGCGTCCACTCCTGACTCGTCCTCTGGGCACTGGCCGACGGCAGGGAAGCCTGAGGGCGACTGGGTCTGCGCGTGCTGGGCGGTGAGGTCGTCGAAGTAGGAGGCGAGCTCTGCCACCTTCGAGCATAGGTCGGGTGGTGCCCTGCTGCCTGGCGGCATACGGGCTGCGAGAACTCCTTGCAAGGTCGAGAGTAGATCTTCGTCCTGTGTGGCTGCTTGCGTGGCGGCCTGCTTGGCCATGTTGTATTGGCTCTCGAGACTCTGGATCTCCTGCTGCGTGGACTTGGCCTCCTCGACGAGTTTGGAGTGCCGCCCACTGACTTCCAGGATGGTCTCGACGAGCGTCTTGAGCTCCGTGGTCTGCGTGATGTACTTATGGCGCTGTGTCTCCAGCTGGTCCGAGAGAGATTGTGCCTGTTGATCCAACGACTTGGTAGCCAGGACGGAGGCCCTGGCTTGCTTGAGTTTGCCCAACGCTGCATTGTCCTCTTCTCCGTTGGGCTTCCATTTCTTCCAGCACGTAACCTGCGCCTGCGCCAGGGCCACGATATCTTCTTCTTGTGGCTGCTGTCCTTCTCCGTCGGCGAAGGTGATCGATCCTGGGCGTCGCAGGCCTGGCGGGTGACTTGGTCCACGAGATCTGTCCCGTCCGCGCCAGCGGCCAGGCTTGTCGGGCTGCGATGGCGGTGACAGGGACTCTGACCCAGGACCACCTGCGCCTGGGTTGTTGGCGGCGCCTCCACGAGCGCCTCCAGGTGGTGCATACTGCTGCGACCTGAAGCGGCCACCACATTGATCACAATGCTTAGCCCCAGTAGTGCTCCAAGTCCAGCCCTTACACCCACGGCGATTGCACAGGATGTACTTCTGCTGCTTGGCCATGAGGAGGAGCAGGAGGAGGAAGAGCAGGGGACACGCCCGACTTAATGCTGACGGCCCCTCGCCACGCGGGGCGCCCTGCCCGAGGAGGGGGCGCCGTGGGCGGCCCCGAGGCGCACGGCAGGCGGGCGCGCGCACGCCACGGGGAGGCACGCCCTCGCAGCGGGAAGCCCCACCTCTGCCCACGTCGGAGGAGGGGGAGATGAGGAGGAGGAGGAGGAAGAGGAGGAGGAGGAGGAGGAGGAGAAGGAAGAGGAGGAGGAGGGGGAGGGGGAGGAGGAGGAGGAGGAGGAGGAGGAGGAGGAGGAGGAGGAGGAGGAGGGGAGGGGAGGAGGAGGAGGAGGAGGAGGAGGAGGAGGAGGAGGAGGAGGAGGAGGATTTTGTTGGCATCAACACGCTCCCTGAAGGCCTCTCCCTGAACTCCTCCGAGAACAGCATGACGGGGATGCCGAAGGACAGGATGAGGAACAGACGTGCAGCACAGTGGGGAATGTGCGGCACCAAACGGAAGCCATTCGTGAAGTATTGAAGACACCGTGCACGACAAAGTGGAGAGACTTGATCCCCGCGGCAGCCACATTCAGAATGTCACACCAGTGAAAGCCACATACGGTGTAAACGCCAGTAAGCCCCGTACAAGGAAAATGACAATGCCGAAGTCGCCTACCTCATCACGCCCAGAAACCAAATACGGCGGAAGGACAACCGAGATTGCACGAACGTGGAAGCTCAAAGCTCGAAGTCGCTGAGTGGATCGTCTTCGCTGCCAGGGCCGAAGAACAACCGCGGCGGGGAATGCCAACCCACTCCAGCCGACGGCGACAAAGAGGCAGCTCCGAAAAGGTGTCCTTCACCAGGATCGGACGGGAGTTCATGCGGCACCCAAGGGGCGCAGCCAGAGAGCGTCGCCGCACCAAGCTGATCACGCGCAGGGCCTTCACGAAGCATTTGATCCGTGCCCTCGCACGCGCTCGCACTCGACACCCCGAAGACCGTCGGGAACGTCGAGTGGCGGCGCGGGAGGTGCGCCACGGCAGTGCTCATCCCCTCCAGCAGCCCAGCCCTCGGCACGCTGCGGAGGCGGCGTGTGCAGCGAGGCCGCCAGTCGCAAGCCCGCCTCCAAGCCGTCCACGAAGGCCATGGCTCGCAGGTCGGTGACCACGAGTGGGACCTCCCAGCAGCCTGGAGCTAGCGCCACGCCTGCGGAACCCACCTGCACCGCCTCCGGAACCGGAGGCTCGGGCGCTGGCTTCTCGGCGAAGGCCGAGCCCGCGTCCGACTGAGGATGGAGCGGCGGGGCCTCCGAGCGGAAGCCTCCTCCACCCTCTCCCAGGCGGGGGCCCGCGGCAGCCCACGCGATGCCAGCGGAGGAGGCGCGCGAGAAGCCGCCAGGCGGCACTCTCTGAGAGTGCCACGCGGCGTTGCGCCTGCGCCGCTTGGAGCCGGGTGCGCGCGAGCCGCCCGCGGCCAGCTGCAAGGCCGCGACGCCTGCTCGCGGTCCGCCCACGATCCAGGGAGTGCACGAGCCGATACCAGCGACCCGAGCGCGGCCTCCAAGGCGGCGCGAGCGCGGGCCCGTGCCGCGCGGCGAGCAGCAGATGCCCCGAGCTGGTTGATCTCGAGCCGCCGAAGCGAAGTGGGCCGCCACGGCGGGCCGCCCCCCGTCGCCGTGCGGAGGGCGCGGAGCGAAGGGGCGCCGATAGGCTTGCGCCAGAGGCCACCCCTTGAACCAGTGCGCGCGCCAGGCTTGAGCCAAAATGGCTACGGTGGAGGAGGAGGAGGAGGAGGAGGAGGATGAGGAGGAGGAGGAGGAGGAGAGGAGGAGGAGGAAGGAGGAGGAGGGAGGAGGAGGAGGGGAGGAGGGAGGAGGAGGAGGAGGAGGAGGAGGAGGAGGAGGAGGAGGAGGAGGAGGAGAGGAGGAGGAGGGGAGGAGGACGGGGAGAGGGGGGGAGGGTGGAGGAGGGGGAGGAGGGGGAGGAGGAGGGGGGAGGAGGAGGAGGAGGAGGAGGAGGAGGAGGAGGAGGAGGGAGAGAGGAGGAGGAGGAGGGGAGGAGGAGGAGGAGGAGGAGGAAGGAGAGGCATGGACGCTCACCGCCAGACCCGGTGAAGCCTCCTCGCCCTGTGGCGTCGCACATCGTGCGAGGTGTGGCGCCACACTATAGCTGGCAGTCGCTGTACGACAGTCGCTAGATCCGATCGCCTCGGAAGCTGGGCAAGGGCTGCAAAATCCGTGGCTGCTAAAATCGACCTCTGGGAAGTTGCTTCGTCCTTCCGGGAAGAAACCCGTTGACTGTTTCGCGTGCCGCGCCTCACTCCGGGAAGCTGTTTTTGTTCCCTTCCGGGAGGGCCGCTTTAGCAGCCACAGTTTTGGCAGCCCTCGCCCAGCTTCCGATCGCCAACAGCTGTGGCATCAGGAGGAGGAGGAGGAGGAGGAGGAGGAGGAGGAGGAGGAGGAGGAGGAGGAGGAGGAGGAAGAGGAGAAAAAGGAGGAGGAGGAGGAGGAGGGGGATCAGGAGGCGGAGGAGGTGGAGGAGGAGGGGGAGGAGGAGGAGGGGGAGGAGGAGGCGATCGCCGCTGTGTGCAGGCTGCGCGATCGCTGGCTGGAGTCGTGCGCCAGTCGGGCCCAGGAGACGGTCGAGAGGCCGGCGCCCCGGTTGCCCCGCCCTGCGCGGGCCTGCCTCGCCTCCTTCCCCGCGCTGCCTCCAGACAGACTTGGGTTGGGCGCGTGTCTCCCTACAGGGGGAGTGTTGACAAATAGTTTTTAAAACAAGTCTGGGGACTATTTTTTGAATATTTGTTTGAGGATTTTTTGTTTATTTTTGAACCGAATGGTCTGGGGATTTAGGTCGTGCCCGTCCCCCTACAGGGGGATGTCCGACGAGAAATAAAATATTCCCACACGTACTCCAAACTGGTCAAACAAATTCTCCAAACATAGCCCCCAGACTATTTAGTTGACGATTTTTTGATAGTCCCCCTACAGGGGGGAATATGGAAAAGTAGTAGAAAAATAGCCTGGGGACTATTTTGTTGAGTATGTGTTGGACCAGTTTGGAACATGTTTTGGGTATGTTTTCTGTTCGTCGAAAATCCCCCTGTAGGGGGACACGCCCGACTTAACTCTGGACCCGCTGAACCAGCTCCTCGAAGGCGAAATGACACTCCAGCCCGAGAGCGCCAGGCGGCGGATTCCCCCGCTGGGCTCCCGCGTTGCTGGCGCGTCGGGTCCTCTCTCCGGCGGTGCGACGTGCAGCGCTGGCAGAGCTGAGCGAGCGCGATGCGCGAGAACCCTGGCGGGCACGGCCGTGGAAAAGCGTGTAGGCCACGCAAAGAGCAGCGCGGCGCTCAGGGCGCTCATGGCGGAGACGAAGGGCTCTGCAGACCTGCGTATTGTCTCTCTGGTCAGGGCCGTCTTGGGGCCATCTCGGGTCGTTTAGAGGCCGTCTTGGAAGCCTCTTGGGTGCCTGTTCTGTGCCGACATTTGTGGCATCTCGGGCCGCTGCGTGCAGGGACAGGCCCGCGGCATCAGCAAGAACCACTCGGCGGGCTCAGGCCTCCCTCCACGCGCCGTAGGCTGTCTCAGCATCCCCAGGTAGACACCCCTGGACGGTCAAGAGGGCCTAAGAGGTCTCCTGGACAGCCCCAAGAGGCCCTGAAGAGCGGACGCACCAGCCCAGTACGGTCTGAGACGGCTCGAGGGCGCCTCCAAGATGGCCCAGGAGGCCCGTGTCACCTAGCAAGAGGGCCCCAGGGTACCTCCAGCAAGGCGAAACACATTAAAGCACCGTTTGCTGTCATGGACCTGTCGCTCAGCTCGCAAGGCGCCCCGCGAGGGCTTGTCGTCTCAGGTCGGGCGTGTCCCCCTACAGGCAGATTTTGGAGGTGGAGGAAAAAAAGAGTCGAACAATATTCAACAATGACAAAACATATGAAAAAACGTCCCCTGACAATTTGAATCCTATGTTTGAGTATTCCTCCTGTAGAGGGACGTGCCCGACGGAAGCCTAGCCAGAACCTGACACCCCCAAGATCTGCCCACGGTCGCCCAGGGCGGCCCACAGGCCCCGAGAGATGTGTCCGAGAGACCGCCGAGGACGGCCCGCAGAGGGAGATTCCAGGATGCCCGCTGGAGTCCCCGGGGAGGCAGCATGGTAGCGGCCAGGAGGGGGTCGTCCAAGGGGGGGGGGGGGGGCGCAAATCATGGCCTGCGGCATGTGCGCGGCCCAGGGAGGGGGGCAGGGGACGCAAGGAAACAGGAAGGGGCGCCATGAACTCTGGGGAGATATCATGGCCCCCGCCATGATATCCACCCCCACCCTAGTCATCCTCCCCCTCTTGACCGCCCCCGAGATAGGTATCACGATGGCCCAAAGAAGCCCCGGGACTGCCTCTGGATGGCTCGCTCCGAAAACCCTGAGCCCGAACATGTGTGCATCTATCTCCTTTGAGCAGGGGCCGACCGTCCTGGCATTCCGATTGGAATACCACGAAGTGTTCCTAGAACCCCCAAGTGCTCCAATAACCAAAAAGAACGTTCTTAGAGCATAAAGGCGACGTGTTAAAACAAGACAGCCCAAGCCAGACATGTTCTAAGAACATTTCGTGCAAGCCACAAATGGATATTAGAACATTCTTGGGTGGCCTGTAGGCGAGCCCAGACGCTTCGCCACTGCTCGAGGGCGATCTTGATTTCCGCCGGCTTCCGGCGGCCTTCCGCCAGCGGAGCCGCCCTCGGTTTGCTTCCGCCGAGAAGCTCGTGCGTGTCAAGGACCCATCGAGGGCGAGGCCCGGTCTAGAGCGGCTCCAGGTACGCCAAGCATCAGGTCGGGCATGTCCTCCTGCAGGCGGAGCTTGGAAGACAAACCTAGAAATAATCGAACATACCCAAATCATCGAAATTGCACGAACAAAAACGCCACCAGAAAACTGCTGACTGTTCTTGCGTACACGTCGTCCATTTCTAGTCGTGCTCATTTCTAAGTGTGCTCGTTTCTGATTCTTCCTGACCCCCTAGTTAGTGGCCAGGAAGAGGCCCAGGATAGAACAGTTCGAAAGGAAAGGATCCTGGCCCCCCAAAACAAATCAAGGAGCTTTCGAACAACTAGGAATGAGCAGTGTGTGTTCCTCCTGTAGCTGGACATGCCCGACGGATGCCCGGCATGGAGCAGCCTGCGGGCCCCCGGGGGCAGCGTGCGCAGCCCCTGAGACGCACGCTGCCCCGGGGGGCCACCTCGTGGACCTCCTTGAAAGGGGCCCTGGGACACACAAGTAAATACACGCAATGAGCAGGATGCCCCCATATTTCCCCATATTCTTTCTAAGATGTTGTCTTCCCCCCACTTCCCATATTTTCCAATATTTTCCCATATTTTTTTTGGGGAATCGACGATTCACTGTGTCTGTGGGTGTTCTGTTCCCTCCTGACTCTTGGGAGGAGTGTCCCGCGCGGGCCCAAGAAGAAATCCGCGCGGCCATCCGGCGGCTGGTTGGCGCCGTGCCGACTTCTGCCTTGGTTTCTGACACCGCGGGGATCGTCCAACCTACGGGGCGTGAAAACGACCACAGCCACTGCTTTTCTTTTGTTGCCGCCTTCCAGCCCGCAGAAACAAAGCAGTGGTTGTGGTCATTTTCGTTGAGCTTGGCACCAGGGAAATGACCACAACCACTGCTTCTTTTTCGGCCGGCTGGAAGGCGGCGCAAACAAGAAGCAGTGGCTGTGGTCATGTTCCCGTCCCACACAACCTTGAGCGATCGGCCGTTTCCGAGACGTCCAAATCGTTCCACATCGAACGATTCTGGGTCGCCCGCGGCGCTTCACGTGGAACGCCGCTGGCGGGGTCGCCGCCGGTCGACACGACACGAACCTGCCGCAACCCGTACGCTTCTTGCTTATCGTCATTGGCTCACCTCCCTACTTACCGCCCCACCAAGCGGCCCTCCGCCGCCTCCTCACGGTGCTCGACTACGCGGGGTTCGCGGCGGGCCGCCCGTCGTCTTCGTCGTCGTCGTCGTCGTCGTCGTCGACCGACCCGCCATGCGCGCCGAGACACCGCTCTGATGTGATCGAACCCCCTTGCGCTGCGCTCTGGACAACCCCGCCTCACCCCTCCACGTGGTCCATCACCCCAGGGAGCAGCTGTGTCAGGCTACTGCTTTTTCCTACTCGACCGTCGGCGACGGCAAAAAACGCAGATGCCCTCACGGCCCATAACGCTCACTCGTGACATCCGCCGATCTGACTTGTGTTCGTTCCGCGGCCCTAAAAAGTCCCGACCGCTTCCATGGGGGTAGATTGTTATCCAGGACTCATGTTTGATGGTCCTGAGGACTGAAAACGGCCCTCGAAGGCTGAGATCGAGGACGCAGACGCCGTTTTGACGAACTCCAGCCGTCGGAGATCTGAAAATGGAGGCGCTGGCAGGCCCAAGCATCCCGTGGATTCATGCTTCCAATGCCGGCGCGTCTCTCCGTCGCTCCTCCTCCTCCTCCTCCTCCTCCTCCTCCTCCTCCTCCTCCTCCTCCTCCTCCTCCTCCTCCTCCTCCTCCTCCTCCTGCTCCCCCTCCCCCTCCCCCTCCTCCTCCTCCCCCCTCTCCTCCTGCCCTCCTATCCTCCTCCTCCTCCTCTCCTCTCCTCCTCCTCCTCCCTCCTCCCCGCTGTCTTTGGCCCCCTCCCCACCCCAGGGGGCCCGAAAGCGGCCCCTGGGGGCCGCTTTCGGGCCCCCTGGGCCATGACAAATGGGACCCCGTGGGGGGAGGGGTCGAGGCCTCTGGGGCCACAGAGCGAGCAGAACCAGTCCGTTGACAGCGCGGCCCGCCAGCTCTGCCGTCGCGCTCGCGCCAAGCCAGCGCCGCCCGCCGACATGTGCCCGAGGAGCGTAGGGGATTCCACCTCGGCGGCGACGCTCAGGGCGAATAGCCCAAGGGCGGGCACTACACGTAGTCGCCCGGGAGCCTCTTCGAAGACATCGATCATGGGCGCCCCTGGATGCGTGTACTGCTCTCCCCTGGGCCATTCGCCCCTATCGTCGCCTATGACCATCAGCATCGGCCACGGGCGCGCGCCTCTGAGCGCGCCGCAGGGAGGAGGAGGAGGAGGAGGAGGAGGAGGAGGAGGAGGAGGAGGAGGGGAGGAGGAGGAGGAGGAGGAGGAGGAGGAGGAGGAGGAGGAGGAGGAGGATGGAGGAGGAGGAGGAGGAGAGGAGGAGGAGGAGGAGGAGGAGGAGGAGGGAGGAGGAGGAGGAGGAGGAGGGAGGAGGCTGGCAGGGAGGAGGAGGAGGAGGAGGAGAGGAGGAGAATGTGGAGAATGTGGAGGAAGGGGAGGATTCAAGAGGCGGAGGAGGAGGAGGACGAGGAGGAAGAGGAGGAGGATGGGAGGTGGTAGGAGGAGGCGGAGGAGGAGTGCGGAGGAGGAGGAGGAGGAGGAAGGAGAAGGAGGCGGAGGGGGAGGCGGAGGACGGCAGTGGCCGAGCCCACCGGCATTCGGCGGCCCTCGGCGGCCCTCGGTGTCCCTCGGCGGCCCCTCGGCGAAGGCCCCTTGGGGGGCCCTGGTGGAGGCCCCCGACGTCGTGACTTTCTTCGCATCGTCGACCCCCAGAGGTCAGGACCCCTTCCCCAGGACCGGTTTTTCATCCTGAGGAGGAGGAGGAAGAGGAGGAGGAGGAGGAGGGGAGGAGGAGGAGGAGGAGGAGGAGGAGGAGGAGGCGGAGGAGGAGGAGGACGACTCCGGAGGCATGGTAGGGGACCCCAGAGGCAGAAAGTGGTGAAAACCCTGCCGTCGAGATTTTTGTCGCGACGCGGGGGGGGTCTGTGGCGGAGAGGCCCTCGGCAGCTCGGGGGGAGGGGGGAGAGGAGGGGGGAGGAGGGGGAGGATGGGGGAGGAGGGGGAGGAGGGGAGGAGGGGGGAGGAGGGAGGAGTAGGAGGAGGAGGAGGAGGAGGAGGAGGAGGACTGGGAGGAAGAGGAGGAGGGCAGGAGGAGGAGGAGGAGCAGGAGGAGGAGGAGGAGAAAGAGGAGGAGGAGGAGGAGGAGGAGGAGGAGGAGGAGGAGGAGGAGGAGGGAGGAGGAGGAGGAAAAGGCCCCCTCGGCGGCCCTCGGCGGTGCTCTCTGTCGAGGCCCGCTCGGCCGGGGCGGCGCCCGCGGCCCGTGGCGGCGCGCGCCAGGGGGGGCGCCACGGCGCCTGGCCGTCCGGGGGCGCGCCCCGCGAGCCCCGGAGCTCGGAGAGGCGCTTGGTGACGTCCTTTCGGCGGCGCGCAAGCCAGACCCCCTCGCGCCGTGAAAAACCACGACGGGAGGTTTTCCGCTCTTCTCGGCCCCAGGGGGCCCTCACCGGGCCCCAAGAGCGTCCAAAAACGACTCAGGATGAAAAACCGGTCCTAGGGAAGGGGTCCAGACCTTGAGGGGTCGACGTTGCGAAAAAATCACGACGTCGGGGGTCTGAGAAGCGTGGGCCCAGTCGAGGCTGACGGGAGGGGGCCCTGAGATCCTGGCGCCGTGCCGCTATGTCGAGCCGGGAGTCTTCGCCTTTCTTTTCGGGCCCCGGGGCCCTCGCACGTCGATCCGGCTCGGAAAAGGACGCAGAAAGATGGGGTCCAGGGACACGGTCGTGATTCTTCACGATGTGGTGTTGGGTGGGTCCTCGTTTTGGGTCCTCGTCCTCGTTTTGAAGAGATATCCTGTTTTGGGTCCTCGTTTTGAAATATTGCTCAAAAGCATCATGTGGTGTTGGATCCTCGTTTTGAAGAGATAGCGCCCCGCGTCTCACCTCGTCCCGCTGCCCGCTCCCTCCTCCCTGCGAGCGCCGCCCCACGCCCCCTACTCCTTCTCCTCCTCCTCCTCCTCCTCATCCTCTCCCCTCCCTCCTCCTACATCTCTCTATCCTCTACCTCCTCTCCTCCTCCCCTATCTCATCCTCTACTCCCTTCCCTCCCCCTCGCATCCTCCTCCTCCTCCTCCTCCTACTCCAGCCTCCCTCCCTCCTCTCCTCCTCCTCCTCCTCCTCCTACATTCCTCTCTCCTCCTCCTCTCCTCCTCTCCCTCCCTCCTCCTCCTCCATCCTCCCCCTCCCCCTCCTCATCCTCCTCCCCTCCTCCCTCCACTCAGCCTCCTCGCTCCCTTTCGTTCGCCACCCAGCACTAGCGTTTCGTGGCCCCACAGGGTAGGCCACGCGAAGGCCCCAGTGGCAGGGTCCGCATGCAGTTCCATCTCCATATCGGCGCACCCCTCACGCGCTTCGTGGCTCCATTGGGTGCTTCACCGAAGGCCCCCGTGGCAGGGTCCGCATGCAATTCCACCTTCATTTCGGCGCACCTCTCACACGTTTCGTGGCCCCACCCGGTGCTCGCCGAAGGCCCCAGTGGCAGGGTCCACATGCAGTTCCACCCCCATTTCGGCGCACCCCATCGCACTCTTCGTGGCCCCACAGGGTGCTCCGCCGAAGGCCCCAGTGGCAGGGTGCGCATGCAGTTCCACCTCAATTTTGGCGCACCCCGCACACGTTCGTTTCGGGGCCCCACAGGGTGCTCCGCCGAAGGCCCCAGCGGCAGGGTCCGCATGCAGTTCCACCACCATTTCGGCGCACCCCTCACACGTTTCGTGGCCCCACAGGGTGCTCCGCCGAAGGCCCCAGCGGCAGGGTCCCCATGCAGTTCCACACCCATGTTGGCACACCTTTCACACGCTTCGTGGCCCCATAGGGTGCTCCGCCGAAGGCCCTAGCGGCAGGGTCCGCACACAGTTCCACCCCCATTTCGGCGCACCCCTCACACGTTTCGTGGCCCCATAGGGTGCTGCACCCAAGGCCTCAGTGGCAAGGTCCGCATGCAGTTCCACCTTCATTTCGGCGCACCTCTCACACGTTTCGTGGCCCCACAGGGTGCTCGCCGAAGGCCCCAGTGGCAGGGTCCGCATGCAGTTCCACCCCCATGTCAGCGCACCCCTCGCACGTTCCGCGGCCCCATAGGGTGCTCCAGGTGGCAACGTCCGCATGGCGTACCTGTGTCAATTTTGGCGCACCCGTCACACGCGTCGTGACCCCAGAGAGGTTCACCGAGGTCGGTATCCACAACTGCGTTACTCACTAGTGCACATGGTTGGGCCCCTCGCCAGGATAATGTTCGCAACGTCGGATCTCAGGGGACACGCGAGAGGGCACAAGACCCTTCCAACGTCCCCATTGCCACAGGAATGTAGAAGGCACTGGTCGCGAAACACAAGACACAAAAACACAAAGGTACCCTCGATTTGGCCTGGTGGACCTACGAATCAGCCTCGGCCAAATGAAAATAAACGATTCGAGTAACTTGCCCAGGGAAGCGCAAATAATTAGACGCAAATTCCAGCCCAAGAAGCCCCAAAGACGGCACAAGAGGGCCCCAGGACGGGCCCCAGAGGGGGAACAACATTGTCATTGCAAGCCTTTGACCCCAAGACGCCCATAGGAGACTTCTAGAAGCCTCCGAGAAGTCCTCAAGAGGTCCAACGAGGCCCCCAATGAGCGCCCGAAAGGCCCCCAGTAGGCCCTGGTCCTCCTTGACCTCGTCCTCCTTCTTCATCAAACCCTGCTTGCACGCCAAATGAAGTTCATCATCATGCGTACGACGCCCACCCCCGTGGGCATGATGATCCTACTCTCTTGTTCCTCCTCCTCAGACTCTCCCTCCTCCTCCTTCTCCTCCTCCTCCTCCTCAGCCCCACCAAGCTCCTCCTCCCCCTCTTCCACCTCCTGCTCCTCCACCCTCCCGCTCACCACCACCACCACCACCACCACCACCACCATCATCATCATCATCATCATCAGCAGCAGCAGCAGCAGCATCAGCATCAGCATCAGCATCAGCATCATCATCATCACCATCATCATCATCGTCATCAGCATCCTCATCATCATCGCCATCATCAACATCCTCATCCTGATCCTCCTCCTCATCATCATCCTCATCACCACCATCATCAGCATCAGCATCAACATCATGATCATCATCATGATCATCATCATCATCAGCAACAACACCATCATCATAAACATCACAAACATCGTCATGATCATCATCATCATCATCATCATCATCATCATCATCATCATCATCATCATCATCATCATCATCATCATCATCATCATAATCATCATCATCAGCATCAGCATCGTCATCATCATCATCAGGAGCAGCATCATCATCACCATCATCATCACCATCATCACCATCAGCAACACCAACATCACCATCAACATCAGCACCAGCATCATCATCAGCATCAGCATCAGCATCATCATCATCATCATCAGCATAATCATCATCGACCCATCTCCTCGTCCTCCTCGTCAGCATGTTCTACGCCCTCATCCTCCATCAACCTCTTCCTCCTCCTCCTCCTCTTCGGGCTGCTCCTCCTCCCCGTGCTCCTCCACCGCCTCCTGTCGGTCCTCCTCCTCCTTCTTCTCCTCATGCTCCTGCCGCCCCCCCCCCCATACCGACGGCCTCGGGCATGGCCAAGCTGTTTGCTGCACTTAAGGCCCCCCCTAACTGCAGCAAATCAGGCTTACCATCATCATCATCATCATCCTCATCATCCTCACATCATCCTCATCCTAATCTTCCTCATCCTCATCCTCATCCTCATCCTCATCCTCATCATCATCATCATCATCATCATCATCATCACCATCACCATCACCATCAACATCATCATCCTCGACCCCTCTCCTCATCCTCGTCAGTTCTTTCCACGTCCTCCTCCTCAATCAACCTCTTCCTCCTCCTTCTCCTCTGGCTGCTCATGCTGCCCCCTCCGCGTGCTCTTGCTCCGCCACATCTCCCTCCCCGTGCTCATCCAACGCCTCCGCTCTCTCCTCATCCTCTTCCTCCTCCTCCTCCTCCTCCTCCTGCCGCCCCAACCCCACCCCCCACCGACAGCCTCGGGCATGGCCAAACTGTGTGCTGTCCTTAAGGCCCCCCTAAGTGCAGCCCTCCGCGTGCTCTTGCTCCGCCACATCTCCCTCCCCGTGCTCATCCAACGCCTCCGCTCTCTCCTCATCCTCTTCCTCCTCCTCCTCCTCCTCCTCCTGCCGCCCCAACCCCACCCCCCACCGACAGCCTCGGGCATGGCCAAACTGTGTGCTGTCCTTAAGGCCCCCCTAAGTGCAGCAAATCAGGCTCATCATCAGCATCATCGTGGTACTCGACGTCATCATCACCAACAACATCCGCCTCCTCCTCCTCCTCCTCCTCCTCCTCGTCTTCATCATCATCATCATCATCATCATCATCATCATCATCATCATCATCATCATCATCATCATCATCATCATCATCATCATCATCATTATCAGCAGCAGCAGTAGCAGCAGCATCATCATCATCATCGTCATCATCAGCATCATCATCATCATCATTATCAATCATCATCATTATCAATCATCATCATCATCATCATCATCATCAGCAGCAGCAGCAGCATCATAATCATCATCAGCATCATCATAATCATC